TTCAGCCTTGAGCCTCGACCCTGGACTAAACCAATCCAGATCTTTGCTTCACCTCTTTGATCCAACTATAAAAACAGCAGAACAACACCCCATGAAACAACCCACATTGATGCTGCAACAGTGATACAACATGGAACCTGTGTTGGAAGAAATTGTATCTATTTCTTCACCACGCATACAAGTTTCACCTGGGTCTTTACCTGGATAGTTCTGGCAGCCACCAGCGGTAGAACCCCGTCTCCACTGACCACTGAATAAGGTCAGACCCCATTTATGGACCTTGTCACTCGTCAGGGTATCAGGAGTCAAGTTGCAGATCTCAAGCCGTGTAAACTGTCTTTGAAAATCTGAGAATGCCATCCTGACATCAAAGAACGCAAAGAGTCCACGGTGAATTCATGAACTTGGAACACGGCCAGACCCACTGTGAATTGACCCCTTTTCTAATGAGGCAGCAAATGGCAGAACCACAGGAGAATTACCTGGAATTCAGTCTAATTGAACTTTGAAACTAAAGTTGGCTTCTAGGAACCCCAACCACCCCTTTAAGGCAACAGTTCTCAATGACTAATATTCATTAAGGGCTCAATTGTGCCACCATCTTAGTACCCAAATAATTTCCCTGAAATCAGCTATGTGCAGCTATGTGGGGAATGAGATACTACTCAGTGTAAGGGTAACACAATAGGGCCCTGTGAAAAAGCCATACATCCAAATAGTCCCAGAGATTTTTTTAAAAATTGGCTATACTTCCATTTTTGTCTGTTTCTTCCACCCTCTGATAGCTCAGCCTGGGTAACATTCACCTCATTCTTACATTAGAAGATAATCAGGTCATGTTGCCAGCTGCCCGAGAGAGCAGGACACACTGTCAACAGATGTTCAAGCACTCTCTTGGGGCCTGATACTATTCCTTGCACTCAGAGACTGATTCTGATTTCACTTCCACTGGCATAAATCAGGTGTAACTCCATCAATGTCAGTGGAATTAACACTGAATAAATCCACACCAAAGAAAATCTGAATCAGATCCTGGCCACACAGCTTTGTCCCTGATTATCCACTGCCTTGAACCTTGTGTAGCTATTTACATTTGTGCAAAGAGGACAACTGCCATTCTAATCGGGGGTAGAGTTCTACAAAGATCAATTCAATATTAACCCATGTAACCAAATACTGGGCTGGATTTTCCACTCACTCCCAGTAAATAGATGCTACCTGAGCTATAAAGCTGAACTTCCTCACTACTATTTAGGCAAAATCCAAGCCTCAAAATATTGAGCATCTGAGCTACATCCTTGCCACCTCATCATGCTATAGAAACCCTAATATACAGGTAATACACCTCTACCCCGATATAACGCTGTCCACGGGAGCCAAAAATTTTTACTGCGTTATAGGTGAAACCGCGTTATATCGAACTTGCTTTGATCCGCCGGAGTGTGCAGCCCCGCCCCCCACCGGAGCGCTGCTTTACCATGTTATATCCTAATTCATGTTATATCGGGTCGCGTTATTTCGGGGTAGAGGTGTATTTGAATGGGAAGGGAGATAACCAACAGGCTAATAACTCTCACACATCATGGCTGTGTTAGTAACCCTTTGGATAGTGGTATTTTCTCAACCACCATCCAAAGCAATGCTTACCAGGACATCTCGAAGTACAGTTTCCAAAGGATTAATCCCACTAAATGATTCTTACCAAAACTCTCCATCATCTGCTTGCTTATCCAGAGCCTGTTTTTGTTTGGGATCAATATAATTCCATTCTGGAGCACTGCAGGCAAAACACAAAAGGCAATAAGTATAGTAGTTACATTTTACCTTATAACAACTTCAGGGAGTTGGAATCTTTCTATAGTTACAGCTGATAAAAGTACATATTTCCTTCAATGACTGGATCCTTTACTCATCCCAAGGCTGTGCAAAATGCAAATTGACCCAATATACAATTGGAAATTATTTAGACAAGCTGGTCAAAGAATCAGGCTTTACATTTAACTGTATTTGCAGCAAATGAACCTTAAATTTAATCATAACTACAAGATGCAAGAATGCACAGATATGACTAGGACTAACTGGATGAAATTAAGAAAAGACTATCAGGAAATGTTTCTCAGTGTGAGATCTATTCTAATGTCTAATAGTCTCCCAAGCAGAGTGGTGAAACCTCCATTATTTGGGACATTTTAAAACAAGACTGGAGAAAGAGAGACTAGAAAATATACTGCAGGGAACAATCCTGCACTGCTCACAGGGAAGGACTAGGTATCCAATGCTTCTATTCCATCTCTATCATACTATTATACAGTGGGCCAGATTCTGATCTGATCCCCCAAAAAACTGGAGTAAATCCATTGATTTCAGTGGAGATGATCCACATTAAAACAGGTATAACTGCGATCAGAATATGGCCCTGTAAGTTTATATGAAGCATACTACTTTTAGGGTGAGCAAACCAGATCCAATGAAAACAAGATTCACCCAAAAGCTTTGCTCAAGTTGCACGCAAACTCAATGCTATAATTTCAACCTGCCGGGATAAGAAGCAGATATATCAAAATACTGTGTGAGAAATTATTTTCATGGTATTTCCAACCTGACCAAACCCAAGAAAATCTTAGAAACGTTGTGACCATAGTTCTCATGAGATTCCAAACCCAGCTTCCAGCCCAGAGTGGTTCAGATGGGTATTCAAATGTTTGGGTCCTTAGCTGAACCCAATCAGAGCCTTTCGAGCTTCTCCAGCAGCAGTCAAACATTGTCCTTTCTTAGGCCTTGTAGTCCCATCAATGTCGGAGTTGCACAGCAGTTTGGCCGTATTAGGTTTTCTAGCCATGGAAATTGACTGAATATTACACTGGTATCTCATCAGCATCAGTAGGATACAGGCATGAGGAGAGTTACCTTGCGGAATGACATGGGTCTGACTTCCTTGGCCCTGTTCACAGCAAGAACTACAGACTACTCTCCACAAATAGAGAGCCCTGCCTGGGGCGAGGAGGTAAATCCCATGATGAGAACAGATCAATAGCCAACACTGCTAATTTATTAATAATGCTTTATTTCTGACTAGTATCAATTGATTTAACACCTTTTCCAAATGTGCTGTGTGGCTTATTAACGGCAGATATTACCAATTTAATTTTAAAAGATTTTGGAACACAGTTATGAGAGGGATGCCACAGTATATAACAACCTACTTATCACTCCAGGCTCCGGTCCACTCCACTTCACCCCAGGGATTTCTAATCCTGACTAGCTTCTCTGGGCGCCCACGGTAGTTTACCTGTAGGATCCACAACAAGCAGAGTCTGAGCATTTTGTTAATTTACTCGTTATCCTGTAGTATTTGCTTTTACATCTAGAGAAAAACACAATTTGCACTCTAGTGGGATGGTCAGAGATAAAAAAACCACTAAATGTCTCCCAGCCCCACCATCATTTTATTCTCCCCTTCGCCACCAACCCAATGCTACAAAAATAGCATTACTTACAGGCCTAATGGTGAGTCATGCAATAGATGGGTAACATGCAAGGATGAGCATCAACTACAACACAGCACAAGAGCTGCATTCTCCACAGCATGTGGCATTTCAGAAGATAGTGCAGCAGCATAAATGGTACAAAGTTATTTAGCAGAATCATCTCTATAATCACAATAGCTTGTGATATGTAGGGAAAGCTTGTGAAATGTAAGGTTCAAGTGAGTTTATAATATAGTCTGTTAGTACAATATAGGTTGCAGGCTATGTTAATTTGCTGAGGAAAACTGGTTGGAATAAAGTCTCTGAGAGGTTATCACCAAGGGGAGAGATATCAAGCTAAAGAACTTTTACAGTCAATCTCTGTCTCTGTGGCTATGAAGATATTAGCAACATTTTCATATGGGTCACACATGGAGAGTCATCAGCAAGTTGTCAAAGGCAGTGTAGTATCGCAAACCCAAAATTATGTTGTGTGTTACACTGGTAAATCATTCTGTGTGATGGTAAGTTTCATCAACACTGTATAGGGCAGGTTTACCCATAGGAAACCTAATAGGTTTAGCCATTATGTATGAGCTTACCTCTTCTGCTCCTGTGAGAGAGTAAGCATGTCCCTTTACCAATTTCTTACTTGTGATAGCCTCAGTTTCAGCTGCACTGGTGATCTAGGACAATAAAAATGCTGTTATATATTGCACACACACACAGTTTTAAAGACCAAATTAATACAGTTGCAGATATCTAAATGGATCATCATAAAGTATAAAAAATTCAACAATACAAACTGTGTTAAACAGAAATGGATCCAAACCCTGGAGCTCAACTTTGTATCTCCAGAACACCCCAGTTCCAAACACATCTGTGACTTGGGGTGTGTGTGGGGGGGGCTAAAATCTGAATCCAAATCCAAACTTTCCCAACTTCAAATATTCAGGTCCAGTCCATTATAGAGAGAAGTTTCAGTTACTAACTTTTATGTGAACTCAGATCCAGAGCTCAGATCTGTTGATTTGGTTGGAATCCAATAAGTCAATAATAAACTCAGCCTCTGGTGAATATAAAGGGCTCAGTATGCCAAGATTCAGATATACAACACTGACCTTTTTTACTGTGCAACTTACCAAAAAAAAAAAAGTTGAGGGACAAGAGGAAGAAACGAATTTGAAAGATGTGGGCTTCTTTTAACCTATCTAATGTTTTCTATAACTGCTGAGACTGCCTATTACAGATGTCAGTGATTTATAGGATTGAGAAATGGAGCCAACTCCAGGTTGTGTGTGGGGAAAAGGGCGAGTGTGGGTCTCAAATGACTGACCTAGAGTACCTCATAATAAAGCATACTTGAAAGGCACCACAGAGTGAATGTAAGACATTCTCAAAGAGTTTGTGTCTGTCTCCTTCTCCCCATTTGGGTGTCTGGGGCTGTAGGCAGGCAGCGTTTGAATCCTAACATAGTTAGAATTGCATTTTAGAAGCTGGATGACCCAGGCAAATTACTTGTTTCTTTTCCAGTGTCAAAGGAATGTGGTCAGAGAGGAAATATCGTGGAGGAGTCTGAGCTGACATGCTGTCACTAGGTAAATCAGGCTTGGGGCAGACTGCCACAACTCTATGAGGGACTCATGCCATCACCAGTACACATGAGGCCGTGTCAGACATCAGGGCTAAATAGATAGTCAGGGAGTCAACATTAACCTAATATTTTTCAAGAAGTTTGTACTGATAATAGCACTTTATACATCTCTAGCTCTTTTAATCCAAGGATTTCAATAGCCCCAAATTAATAAAACCTCACACAATTCCTGTGAGATAGGTTAGCACTGCTATGCCTATTTTACAGATGAGTAAAATGAAGTGGCAATCAGAGGCAAAGTCAGGAATAGAACCCGGCAATATGATTCCTAGTTCCCAGCTCTAATTATTAGGCTCTTTCCTGAGCAGGGAGACACAATGGGTAGTTGCCCATTTAGGACCTGAACCAAAGCTCACTGAAATCAGTAGAAAGTTTCCACTGACTTCAGTGGATGTTGAAACAGGCCCTTCCATAGTAACAATGCCTGCTGCTGACCTGAGCTTTCCCTACTACACAGATCAGAGCTCTGATGGTGAAAGAGTAAAATACTGGCAGTATCTCACATCAATGGAGCAGCCAAGCAATGACCCAGCTTGCAGGGCCTTCTGGATGATCTGATATAGGTTTGGTGGGGCCTTCCTCAGATCGTAAGACTCAGAGATGCCACCCGTGAAATCCTCAAACCCTTCTGTAGTGGAGCCTCCTGTGAGAGCCTCATATGAGCCATTCAATCTATGGGGAAGAAAATAAGATAACAGACATGCAATAAGAAATATCTGGCCAGTTTCCACACATACGTCACAGTTGCATTACAGAAATAACAGTTTCACAGGTGTTACTTGTGAAACTAGCAGATAAAACATTTTGAGGCAGAAGGTTGGCAGTGCTCCCTGAAGTGTTTGTGGGAAACAAGAAATGGTGTGGAGAGAGGAAGGAAGAGGAATAAGACACTGACACTAGGGCAGAATGTGTTTGGGCCTGGCACTGGCATGGGTTGAGACAGTCACATTCCTCGCACTTATTATGGCCTCCCTCAGAATTAGCCCCACTTACTTTGCGTAGGCCTTCTCCAGCAGGGCGCTCCAGAACTCATTGCCTTCCTCTGAGTGAAGGAAGAGCAGCTGCCCGTTTTTGGTGGGCAGCCTGTCATCAACAACAACATCCACCCACTCCCCAAACTGCCAGAACTAAGGAAAGAAAGAAAGGGTGGTTAGAGCTGTGTTCTACAGTTACCTCCCTGCTAAAAATCCTCCTGCCACTCTCTGCTTCTCACTGCCCCTTGTGCTATGGAACAGTCTCCCACTTCTTGCTGGCCATTCATCTTCTCTTCTCCATCTTCACATCCCTCATGAAAACCCACTTTGAGGAATCCTTACTACACTGGATTCCTCCCCATTGATTTCTCCTCAGTCTCCCATATGTGAACTGTTGTCTGCGTTTTGTCCCATCCATATTACGCTGCACATCATTTGAGACAGAGACCAATGTTTTTTCTATTCTCTGCTTTACTATATTCTGTAAGGCTTTGGTACATTTACAAGCACTATGGGAAGATTTATTAATAAGTAATATTAATGCTGCCTTGGATGGAACATCTAGAACATTCTCATAGTGTGGTCCATGGAGTACTTTTGGTGTCCACAAAGAGCTGGCTGGCAGCTGGGATGCATTAAGACCTAAATTTTCAAAAGTACTTTAGGGTGCCCAACTTGAGGCACCCTGAAAAGGCTTCATTTTCAGAAAGTGCTGTGCACCCACCCACAGAAAAAATAAGGCCCCCTTAAAAAGTACTTCAAGTTAGGGCACCCAAAAACACTAGTCACTTTTGGAAATGTAAGCCTGTGGACTTAACTAATATTAATTCTCTGAGTAAGTAACTGCTGGAGTTGCCACCAGGATGTTATGTGGTCACAAATGAGAGGGGAGATGGACAACCTGACAAAGATTGGGAGGCAGGCAAATCCACAGGACAGTCTCCCTGCTGAGATGAAATGTGGCCTACAGTGTGAAAAAGTTGGAACCTGATCTAGAATATTCTGCTCTACATCACAGTGGTATTAATCTGGCTATTAGCCACGATGGGTAAGGAATGGTGTCCCTAGACTCTGTTTGTCAGAGGGTGGAGATGGATGGCAGGAGCGAGATCACTTGATCATTATTCTGTTAGGTTCACTCCCTCTGGGGTACCTGGCATTGGCCACTGTCGGTAGACAGGATACTGGGCTAGATGGACCTTTGGTCTGACCCACTACGGCCATTCTTACGTTCTTATGAGTGACTTTCTTGCCACCATGGCGCAGCACTGGGTTTACACAGGTGTAAGAGAGCAGAATTCTAGCCCACTGAGTATGTATAATTGCATTTTGTTATAGTCTCCTCTATTCTCCCCCTCCCTGTCTATCTCACTTGCACACCTTAATTGCTGAATATCTAACTTGTCATCAGCAATGAGACAAGCTACATTTACCTAAATATTGGATCTTTCTTTTGTTCCTCACATCTTGATCCTGTTTGATCGATTAGCAAGAGTTACCTGGAAATGAAAGATCCCAGCATAGTTCTTCTGGAAGCTCTGATCTTTGGGAACAATTCGATTCAGGATTTCTTGATCCAAGGTAAGAGATGCAATGGCTGCTAGGAGCCAGCAGTCACCTGAGAACATGCAAGTTTCAAGATAGAAATGTGCATCAATAAAATAGGGCCTTGCAGTTTCCTCATTTCGCCCTACACCACTACTTGAAATACCCTTTGAATAAAATGCCAAAGTTCAGTGCCCTCTGAGATCCTATTGGAAGTCTAGTTGCTGGGTTGTTTTGTTTGTTTGTTTTTAAATATATCTGTTCTGCTTATTTTTCCGGGGGGGGAGGGACAGATTCTGGCTTTTGTATTTTTAGTACAATTACACCCAAATCTTGATTCAAATTCTGCCAAAGTTTCCAGGGCTGATAACAATGGTGGATTTGGTGTTCCATTTCAAGTTTTATTTGTGTTTAGACCTTATTTTTATGTGCTTTTTAATGCCTTCAGGGAGCAATTTATGTGGCTGAAGCAATGCAAGATATGGGCTTCCCATAACATTTTAATTCCTGGATGATGGAAATACTATGGGGGAAAAAACAAAACAGACTTCATGTTCTTTCATGACCCCAAATGGCTCCCTGAGGCATTAGAAAAAGATCAGGTTAACAAATACTACGTCTGAGATATTTGGGTTTAACCCAGCCTTTGTTTCTTCATGTGGACACACATAGCAATATCATCAGTTGGTGTAAATCAGCAACTGAGGATCTGGCCCAAATAGTCTAAACTGGCGTGTGCTTTAACATCAGGAGGGCAGCAGTTAACTTCTTAAAAATTAGATAAGTGTATTCACTGTAGCAGAAGATCCAACCCAGTCCTGTGAGATGCTGGAAGCCGCATGCCCTCAACTGTCACTAGCTTGAGGTTAACCTGGAATGGGAATGAAGGTGCCCAGCACCTCATAGTATCAGAAGCCTAATTAGGAAACTGCTGATAGTTAAACTGCCCCCCAGAAAATTCTGAGACCTGTTTGTATCAGTTCCCATAGAAGTGCCCATCATTTAGCGAAGTGTAACTCTCAAACTAAAACATGCATAGCTCTCCCAGCATTGTAGTTCGTGTTTTAAGGCCTGGCTCTTAAAAAAAAAAAAGTTAAGCTGACATGAGAGGAGATGAGAAAGATAGTCCCCCTCTCCCCCCACGACAATGCTGGTCCAAAGGGTAAGGAAATGCCATACTGGTGCCACCATGTTTCCAGGATACCAGCACGCAGCATGAGCGAATTTCAGAACCGCTTTGCATACATGCAGGGTCCATACATGTTGCTAGCACTGAGCTCTAGTATCACACATGTTTTGCCCCACATGAGCACTGTTGAAGAAGCAGAATGAATCATAGTCCTTGTGGTAGCAAGGGGATGTGGTAGAGGAGGGGCTCCTGCTGTGGAGAGGAAAACAACAGCTTTTGAAGTGAGGATTTAAATCCTCATCTTTCTATGTATCCCTGCTACTGGCTCCCCTGCCTCCCAGTTCATCAGCTGCTGCTGGCCTGCTCTGAAGCACACAGTGCTATCTTTGAGGAGATGGTGGAGCAGCTCTTCTGGTATTCCTGCTATAACAGCATCCAGCAAAGAACACACACAGCTAATTGGTAAGGAGGAGGTAGAGTTCTCCCCATATGTGATATCTGGAAATGTCTCCTCTGTGTTACAGGCCAGGCTGTTGTAACTATTGAAATAGAGCCTGCCCCATTAACTACTGAGTGTCAGCAGCTGGGATTTGCTTAACCTCAAGGATGGCCACCTTGGGAATGTTTAGTCAGCACAAAACTATATAGACTCTTCAATTAAATGAGAAGCCTTCCCTGTGCTAATTCTGAGTCTTACTATAGTAATGTAAGGTCCTGTTCTCCTAGGACAGCGCACGTGCCCACAAAGTGAAGTCCTTCGCAAGAATTCCGCATGGGAAATCTCTCTCTGTCCTAGGAGCATTTAGGCAAATGCCAGCAAATTCCATCACTCAATCATTTCTACTTCCTTCAAAAGAGGCTGGATCAGAAAAATATGGGATCTTGCATGTTGTTCCAGTTAGGAGGAAAATTTGATGATGGAGTCAGGGACCTTTTAATGCATCTTGTTTATTTACAAGGAGTGTTCAAAGTCCTGTTTCTCTGAACAGAGGAGGAACCAAACAATAGTTTCCTTGCTCACAGCACTAAACCTCTTTTAGCCAGCGCCAGACCCATAACCCCTCTTTCTAGGCTTCTCTCAGGGCCACACATCATTCTTGTCCAGATTGTGTCTGAAGCTTCATTCTCTCTTTGTATGTGTGCTTTTCTGCTTCTCACAACAATATCAGCAAAGCCCTCTGCCCACATAGTACAAATTCCTGAGTAGTCTTTGGTGAGCCTTTTGTTTTAAGCAGTGCCATGTGCCTGTGCTTTGATTTAGAGACCACTATTCTTTTATAACAAAACTTAACGTAACTGTTTCTACTATCTTAAACGAAGGGCAGCAGTTACACCCACCAGCATGCGTCATGAGCTTTAATCCAAACTATAACTATATTTTAGATAGACATTAAGGGCTGGCGTATCCACCCACAACTCCCACCAAAAGAACTACATTGCTTTTAAGTGGTACCATTTGTTATTTTGGCGCAAGTCTATATGTGGATATTCTTATTTCAGAATAGAACTGTCCTATTTAAAATGAAACTGTATGATAGCCATGCACAGCCTGGCACTGAAATAACAAAAATGTGAATAAACCCCATTTCGTTATTTTGGCGCAAGTTTGTGGATAGATCAGCCCTCAGTCAGGTATTCTCAAATAAGGAATCATGGTTCAACACTGACCTCAATGCTGCACGTCAGACCCTTCTCATCACGCAGAGCCCTATAGACTTGAATGTGGCTCAATGAGGGTGCTGGAATTAGCGATGTCAAAACATTTTCAGGATTGGGCCTAAGTTACTTAGATCAAAGAGCTACACTTACTTACAAGGTAAGCTTTGGGGGCAGGGACCATCTCTGTTTGTACAGTGCCTACACAATAGAGCCCTGGTCCTGACTGGGGCTGTTACGCATCACTGCAATAACAATAACAATACATGGATAGTTATCAAAATCTCACTAATTAAAATGTGAGTGTTCTGTTTTTAGAGAGGCTGACAAAGCCATTTTTCTAATCCTACTCGATGGCAATTTTCACAGCTTTCTGTTGCTCCTACCAGTGTGTGCCTATGATATAGTTCAGAGCTCAGACACCTCTCTTTGAAACCTAAACAAATACCTATGCAGCACCACCAAAGCCTGCCAAAGCAAGGTGTTCAGGGATAGTGTTGCTGATTAGAAATCAGCTTTCAAATACTGAGAGAAATTTGGCTTCAATTTCCTAGAAAGTGAATTTAGTAAATCCAAAGAGAAAAAAGGACTCATCGAGAACACATACTTAACTGAAGTACATTTGAAGTGCAGTCGTAGTCAGAAAAGTGCCTGTGTTAAAATATCTGTATAAAACCTATCTGCTCACCATGGTGACTATAAAATAAAATCCACACAGAGGCTTCTTTCACTAATGCTAAAAGTGTCTAAACTGGTAAGAATTTAATTCTCTAGTCAATGATCTAGTCAAGCAGAGATGGACCCAAACTGAAAGCCCAGATTGGGGGTGGGGGGAGATTGAGAGAGAGAGAGAAAAGAAACTCCCCACATTTAGAGTTTTTGAATCCCAGATCTGAACTTTGCGGCTCAGAGGCATCTCTGTATTAAACATTTCCTGCTTTTTCAGCAAGCCCTTAAGCTCAGAATAGATCCCAGGCAAAATGCTCTCACTCTCTTAGTTCCCAGCCTGTGATCCTTTCCTTCAACATCTGCTCTCTACCCAGGGCCGGCTCTGGCTTTTTTGCCGCCCCAGGCAAAAAAGCCTCCGGC